TCCCCAAGCGTACTCTAAGAACCGGGTCTAGGTACCCTTGCCCCTGGAGGGGGGAAAATGCACCCAGACCCAGGTGGTGTTACCCTTTTCCCTGCGGTGAGGAGAAGCAGACTGCCCCAACTCCGCAGCAGCAGGGAGGCCCCACACTCCAGACCCCAGTCGGACGGCCAACTCCAGCAGGTCGCAGAGAACGGGGCTGTGAGAAGACTTTGCTTCTGCTCACCGTGTTGTAGTAGCAGTTTATCTGTGTGCTACAAAAAGAAACAACTTTTTGACTTTCCTTTAAAAGGGAAATATTTATGTGCTGATGCAGTTTACAAACTTGCATTTCTGAGTGTGACATTCCTGACATCATTGTTTGTCATCAGTCACTGGTGGAATACTACTCTTTATGTATGATTTTTATGTTGTTTTATTCTGATATTGAAATTTTAGAGATTTTTTTTAAAGCTGTATAGACCTGGCTATCCCAGAGGTTTTGTTTAACTCATGCAATCTGGTAACAAATATTGATGGCTTTCTCCTTTCACTGTGATTAAAAATGGATGAAAGGGGGATATTTTACTAACGCTGTACAAAAATACGTCTAAATTTAATATTAATTTCATATTAATGTTTCTCTTATAATGTTTTCTCTCACACTCACACATGCACATCCAGGCAACTCTCAAGAACCATAAGACAACTCTTTAGGGAAACAATACAATGACAAATGTTAATTTCCTCTCCCAGGGTTTGTCTTGTCTGGTGTTTATTCCCTTGTTTTTTTTGTGCTCAGTGTTCCTGATGTAAGTAACTAATATGTATGGAGAAAAAGATTTTAGATAATGAATGTTTAAATGTTTAAATTCACAGAGTACTGTTTCACATACATTATTGGTCTAAATGTTATATATTTCTAAAAATAAAAATTGGTTTTCACAGTAATGGTATTTTAGATCATGAAACAATAAAACAAATAAATCAATCAATCATCATTTTGGGACATATGAAGCCAAAGGGTCCTTCAATTGGCACACTGGCTCAAACGATACAAAAAAACCCACAACACAAACTGTTACATATATTGATGCATGCTCAATCATCCAGGTAATCCCAAAAAGTTGATTCTGTTCATCTGGACGTAGTGTTTTCTGTGGGACAAACATTTCATCCAAGAAGTCACTTGGATGAGTGACAAAATGTTGCTCCCACTGAGACGTTCTGTCCAGATGAACAGAGTCAACTTTTTGAGATAACTGTCACATACTTCAAAAAACAGACTTAACCAAGAAGGATGTCAGTGGCAGTGTAAAGAAACATGTCCGCTCTAACTGAATATTTAATAAAATGAATGATACAGCAGATTTTGTATGCCTAGCACAATGCTATTAATTAATTGAACAGAGAGGATAGGGATTAATCAATTTCTGTATGACTATCGTCATTCTTTAAGTCTTTCACATCATTGTGGAGGAATTTTGGCTCACTGTTTTTAACAGTGTTGCTTCAGTTCATTGAAGTTTGCAGGCATTTGTTTGCCTCGTCCAGGAGCCAGTCCTGGGGAGGGAGGGTTCCCAAAGAAGGGGCATGGGCCCACCCTTCTGGAGGTCCTACACCCGCAGGAAGGGGTCCAATGTAGTATCTGCTGGGCAGGTGGAGACCCTGGCGGACTGATACCCAGCTACCAAGGCTGGAGACTAGGACATGAAATGTCACCTCGCTGGTGGGGAAGGACCCTGAGCTGGTGCATAAGGTTGATAAGTAACATCTAGATATAGTCAGCCTCACCTCAACGTACTGCTTGGGATTCAGAACCAGTTTCCTGGAGAGGGGTTTGACTTTGTCAAAGTTGACGACTCATCCATCACTGGAGGTGAGGTCACTGAGGAATTAAAACCACTCCTTAGTAGCAGAGCCCCTGGGGTGAATGAGGTTCACCCTGAGTTCCTGAAGGCTCTGGATGTTGGGGGACTGTCCTGGTTGGTACTCTTCTAAAGTGCTGCATGGAGATCTGGGGTGGTACGTCTGGAATGGCAGGCTGGGATAGCGGATCCCATCCAGATGGGACCAGAGGGTGTCCTCAAACTACAGGGGGATCACACTCCTCAGCCTCCCTGGAATGTCTATGCCAGGGTGCTGCACAGGAGAGTGTGTTAGTTGAACCTCGAATACAGGAGGAACAATGTTGTTTTCATCATGGTTGTGAAACACTGGACCAGCTTTTTGCCCTCTTGAGGATATTTGAGGATGTGTGGAAGTTTGCCCAACCAGTCTACATGAGTTTTGTGGACTTGAATGAGGCATTTGGCCATGTTCTTCAGAGTATTTTGTGGGAGGAACTTCGGGAGTATGGCCTATCTGGCCCGTTGCTACGAGCCATTCAGTCTTTATACAGCCATTGCAAGTCGAACTTGTTGCTGGTGGATGTTAGACTCCACCGGGGTTTTTTATTGTCACGATTCTGTTCATAATTTTTATGGACAGAATTTCTAACCAAGCGGCGGAAGTCTTCCACTTGGGTGGTCTCAGAATCTTGTCTCTGCACTTTGCAGATGATGCGGTTCTGTTGGCTTCATCAGGTGGTGGCCTCCAGCTCACACTGGAGTATTTAGCAGCCAAGTGTGAAGCGTCAGGAAAGGGAATCAGCACCTCCAAGTTTAAGCCCATTGTCCACAGCTGAGAAAGGATGGAGTCGCCACCCCAGATAAGTGGAAAAAAATGGATGGATAGATAGATGGTTTTTGTAACACTCTATATATTTTGGGTAAGCATCCCCCCTTTAGTCTCATCTGTACAAAGGACATTGTTTCAGAATTCTTGTGGTTTGTTTAGATGCAACCTCACAAACCTTTCTCCTGGGAGCTC